TTGGGAGCATGATAGGATAACTTCTTAGCACCATGAAGCCTCAACAGCAAAAGAGGCCATTTTTTGAATTTTATAATCAGACATTGGTACATCCATCTTCCAGTTGCCAGCAAAATCAACCCCTGTTGATTGGAGGAATCTTAGCTTTCACATTTTTTATTGTATCTGTGGGTTCAACCTTGAGAATAATAGTCTTTCTTGTTAGGGCTTTCATGAAAGTCCTAACAAGATGCCCAAACTGCATCTTGGCAGTGGGTCTACGGATCTGAAAGGAAGATTCAGTTCTGATGAAATTTACTCAAATTTATCTGAAGCTGAATTGAAGCTGGGTTATTGCAGGAAAAGGGAATAAGAGGTCTAGTATCACAAGTTCTTACTTAAAGACTCGGAGGAAACAATCATCCCTGTAATGAGACCACCCTGACTTAGTCACCTGGACTATGAGAGGAATCAGTTGAAGCTGTTCTGAATGAAGCAGAGATTCTAAGAGAACCTGCTTCTCACCCAGTGCCCACAGATTCTGCAGCCTGGCCAGTGCTCACAGGGGCAAGCTGGAGAAAAATGGAACAGAGGACACCTCCCCCAAAATGAGACTTTTCCACAGAAAGAAGAGGAGGCACATGCCCCCTCTCTGAAGTGATCCATGGTAACCTTATTCCCAGATGTGCGCACACACACACACACACAGCCCTGATAAAGCCCTTGGACTCTTTCAAGCAAAAGACTTAGAAAATTTTCTGTTAGCCACGTTTAAGCTTGACTATTAGTGACAGAAAAATCCAGCACTGCAGTGGCCTAAACTAAATTGAAGTTTATTTATCCCATAGACATAGGCTGTCCTAAATTGGTTTGTCAGTTCTACAGTGATCAGGAAGCCAGACTCCATGTCTCTTGTTGCTCTACATCTTCAACATGAAGATTCTGCCTTTTGGTCCAAAAGGCAGCCATTATGCTCACATTCTAGTCAGTAGAAAAAAGGAGGAGGAGGAGTTGGGATCTCTCTCTTTAAGAGCTCTGCCCAGAAATCACATGTTACAATTACACTTACCATACCCTCTTGATTTGTCTTTTGACTTAGTCAATTGACCACACCTAGTAGCCAGGGAGGCTGGGACATATGGTCCTTATTCCACACAGCTATTTGCCCAGTCAGTGATCAGAGAATACACATTAGCATAAGAGGAGAATGTGGCAGTCTCTGCCACACCCTGCAAAACTAACCACAAAATTTCCAGCAGAGAAGAGTTATGAAAATAAAATATCCAGCTGTGAGTGTGAACAGAAAGAGCTTGAACCCTTGAAGTTCACCTGCTTCGTGCATTTTCTCACTTATTTGACCTTACCCCACCTGAGGGCACACAACTTCACCTTTGAAATTTAGACCCAGGGGGTGCGACACCTCCTTTCCTTCTTTGTCTCTAGCATGAATTGGCTCTCCAAGCATTTTCCAAGAACTTTATTAAATATAGTACTCAGGCATAAAAAGAAGAAAATAAGGAAAATGCCAGAGGCTCAGAAACTTACAATTTATATGATTGGATCTTAAGGTAACTGCTTTCTATTTCCAAAAGGCAGGCACAAATATGCAAAAATCATGATAGAGGCTTTGTTCCTCTTAGCTGCTCTCAGGTCTCAGGTAGAGGGGAGCAGCTTTACTCTTTTCTGGAACAAGGCACATGACCTTTTTCAAACTCTGCCATCCCCCTGTGCTCCACCATTTCCATCTGTCTTTGTGCTCAGGGGCAGGCTTGGTGAGCCTTCAGTTCTGATGACTAGCGGTAAACACTTCCTGTCTGTGCAGGGGGTGATCTTGTCCCTTCACGTCCACAGGGCAACTGGGCTTTTGCGTCACACTAAATAGTGTATCTTAGAGATCTTTTCATCTCAGCCCCTAAAGATCAAATTCATCGTCTTTGATGGTTGCATAGATATTGCATTGTGTGTGTAACTTCAGTTTATTTAACCAGACTCCTATTGCCGAATGCTTTAACGTTCCCATAGTAGAATTACATCTTTACTGATTGACTTTTGAACGGGGAAACAGCCGGTGTTTAAAGGGGGATGTAATGGAAAGAGCAGGTCTTATACAACTTCTCCCATGTCGCAATATTTTGAAGGGTGGCTTCATCTAAGAATCTTGAATGAAAATAATTCAGTAAATTACGGGCGAGAAATGAACTCTTCTAAATCTGCTGGAGGCTAGAAACAGATTCATTGGTGTCCTTGGGATCAGAGAACAGTATAGAGTCAATAACTTGAAAACTGGGTTCATTGAAATAACAGGGGCTGGTCCACAAACTATTAAAGTTCATACCTTAAATCAACACCTTGGCCTCTAACACTCAGCTGCTTGATGCAAAAAGCAGTGGTGGACAACAGCAAAAATTCACACTTCAGAAACCAACAATGCCGAGAGAGCAAATGGCCATTTAGTTTCTCCACCAAACTTCCCTAATCCAGTTTGATTGTTCTTGAATAGCATTGACTTAACAGTTTGTAAAGTAAATACCCTTCCAGGTTTTTGGGAACCCTTGCCTCTCAATTATGTTTGACTTTGTTTTCCTCCCAATTGGTGGCCTCCTCCTGCCTCACTGAGAATTCAGCTATTCTATTCTTTTACTGTCAAAATTTGCTCTCAAAAAGATGCAAAAACTCATTCACGTTATAATTTAAGTTGATATCTAAGTGATATCAGGTAGGAAGGGAAACTGGCATATATACACATATACTATATGTATGTGTGTGTGTGTATGTGTGTGTGCGTGTGTATGTGTGTATGTGTATGTGTGTGTGTATATATATGTATATTTTTTTTAGCAGCATCTCACTCTGTCACCCAGGCTGAAATACACTGCTGCGATCTTGGCTTACTGCAACTTCTGCCTCCTAGGCTCAAGTCATCCTCCCGCTTCAGCCGCCTGAGTAGCTGGGACTACAGGCATGCACCACCATGCCTGGCTAATTTTTAAACAATTATTTGTTTTTTTTTGGTAGAGATGGGGTTTTGCCATGTTGCCCAGGCTGGTCTTGAACTTCTGGGCTCAAGTGATCCTCCTGCTTCGGCCTCCTAAAGTGCTTGGATTACAGGAATGAGCCACCACGCCCGGCCTGTATATATATTTTAATTTAGATTTTTATTATAGGAATTTTAAATATACACAAAAATAGAAAATATAATGAACCCATACATACCCACCGGCTTCCACATTTATCAACAGTCTATCATTTTTGCTTCCATTCTTCACTTATCTCCCCCTATACTTTTTTTTCTGTATTATTTTAAACGATTTCCTACAAATACGGGAAGGTATATTTGACGGGAATAAATGGGAAACTTAGTAGGGCAGTGGCTGGAAGGGGGTGCAAAGCTGCAGGAAAGATTCCCGGATTGGGTTGCGACGCCTGCCACGAACGTAGAGGAGGAGGCAGGGGCAAGCGCCACGCACCTCCCACGTACCACCTGCTTTCAGTCGAAGGAATTAAACTCTTACTCTAATATTTTAGGCATTTACAGCTGGCAGGGGAGAATGTTTTGGAGGAAAGAGGGCTTTTCATGCTCTGATCACTCCTGGGAGGCAGTTGCCTCTTCCTCTACCATCCGCTTTGTATCACTTTTCCAACTACTTGATATGGTTGGAACAGAGTGGCTGTGAGTGGCAGTCGCACACACGGCTTGCCGTGGTGAGTCTCTGTGGAAGGGAACAAAGCCAGGCAAGGCTCCAGGTGACAGCCTGCCTGTCACTGCATAAGAGGAAGGAACAGCAGAGCTTGCCATTTGGAGGGATCGTGGGCTTCCAGCCTCCTACAGGAGGGTCAGCAGCTGTCAGTGGTATCCAAACTGCACTTTCTGCACAAAATGAAGATGTCACAGGAACAGAAGGAAATGCCAGTCAGTTGTCCTTTGATTTGCTAGTTGACTCCAGCAGCAGTATCAGTTTTGTCCCCAAAACTCTTTTTCTGGCAAAGCCCATAGGGCCCAAGAACAGCTTTTATTCTGCGTGTGCTGGAAGCCAGGAGGAAGCTTTCTGTGTGTGTGTGCGTAGAGGTGTGATGTGGGTGGGGAGGGGTGCAGGGGGAGGTTCGAGGGCTTGTAGGGCTGGGCACAGTGGCATCTTTGGAAACGGCTGCCATACACCCCTCACGTGTTAGGCTGTGTGTTCGAGAAGTGTCTGCAGGATTAGTTGGCTATTTGAGGAACAGGTGTTCTTGGGGTGGATTTGCTGGCATCGGTTAGATGGCAGGATGGTTCCGATTCACTGTTGAACCTGATGGGATGGCAGGAGCCCAGAGGGGCCTCAGGAGGGTTCCCAGGCTGTGCAGATACGTTCATCGCGTCCTAACGGCATTCGTGTGCCGCCCACACAATGTGAAGGGCCTTTAGGAGAGAGAAACTGTTCAGTGAGGTCTGCTATTGGCCACATGGGCCTTGCTTGAGTCTGGTGAGCTTTTTTTAGTGCTAGGGAATTCGTGAAGACTATTATCTCTGGCTTGACCTAAACAGAGGCCACAAGCCCTCTACTTCAGCATTTTCTAAAGTGTATTCTGCTAAGTACTAATTCAGTGGAATTAGGGTGGGTAGGAGATGTTTGTGTGGGACAGCACTCCACCCATTCTGTGGATGGAGAGTGGGTGGAAGAGTTTCGTGATGAAGTCAATTGGGAAATTGTGGGCTGAACAGGCCTGTTTGCGGCAGGACTTCTCAGGACCTTTATTACACCAGGGTGCATTGTGACTTTCTAAGAGGGCTATCATAGGCTGCACTCCTACTGTTTATTTAGCTATAGAGCCCTTGCTACAAGCATTTCACTGAACATACTTTGGGAAATAGAGTCTTACTTGAATGAAGATTCATCCTGCTGATTTTTCTAAGTCATCAACACCAAAAGACTCAAAATCTATACTTCTCTCAACTAAACTAGAAATAGTTTGATATTTATATTGTTATAAGCTCTTACCCAAAGAGTGTTGAAACTTGAATTGATTTTATATTTCCTTTCTAGATTATTAAAAACTCCAATTTGTGTCTGTGTAACTCAACGTGGGAACCTGGAACCATGTTTACTCTTCTGATGACCCTGAAAGGTAGGCATCTGCAATTTACAGATGGGGACATAAAAGCTGCAAGAGGTTTAGTCATTGGATCAGGATCTTGCAGCTGGTAACAGAGATGCGGACGTGGGTTTGTCTAGCTTTTCTCTCAGCAGGTGAAGGAAGGGCAGGTTTTCCTTGCTTGGTGTCTGTCTCGCCCATAAGAATATAAACACTTTCCATGAGGGCAGTGACTTTGTTTCGTTCACTTCTGTATCTCCAGTGCCCAGCACACAGTAGGTTCTCTGAACGTGTTTATTCAAGGAAGGAATTACTGTCTTCTCATCTATGCAATAAATATGCATCAAATGTCTCTTCTACATCCCCAAGAATGCGGGTCTGAGAAAGTGCAGCTGAAAACACAAACTTGGCGAGGCCATGTCAAACAATAAAGCCAAGCTGTTTTGGGGCACAGAGAAAAAAGAGTTCACTTTGTGGGAGTTCTGGAGTGCTGTCTCTGAATCCTGACTTCTTTTAAAGTTAAGAGAAAGAAGAAAAGAATATTAAGTACACGCGCCTGGGGAAAAATCATTAAAATAGTACAGAAAGGTATGAAATAAAACATAAGTCTTTCTCTTCACCTCCATTGCTAGTCCTGTTCTTCACTCGACTTTCTTGAGGGGAGGAAGCGTTGGTGGTGGTTTTGTCCATATCTCAAATAATATGCTTACATTCGCATTTCTTGATTCATCAATATGAAGCAGTAGCTATTGACTCCTCTCTATGATAGATGAGGCCTGTATCTCCCCAACTTCTGCCTGCCCATTTTTGTTGTATTTTTATTCTTCTATATATTTTCTCTATAATTTAAAATAATGTGCCTAAACCATCATTCTTTGATGCATTAACTTAGTATGTCTTGTTTCTCTATCATGTAATGTAAGGAAATTAACTCCATGTTGCCACCTTTCTCTTCCCCCCCAGTATTGGTCAGCGCTAACTTTACTTTTATGTTGTCAAAGTGTAGAACATTTACACTTCATATCGTACCCACAACTAGTCCCTTTCATGCTTTGTTTATATGCAAGTTGATGCTGAAAATTGAAAATCAATACATGGCTTTAACAATACTGTGATTTTGTAAAGATTATTCGCTGCAGAACCAGAACAGTGTTTGGCTTTATGGAGGAGATGTAATCCTATGTTCTGATGTAATCTTTGCTATCCAAAGGAGGTTGTTCCAAGCATCAGGGTAAACAGAATCTTGCTGTATGCTAACAATTCTTCAATATAAGAACTCATTTTCAATCTGGAACATGAGTCTCATTCTGGAATTGATAATTGTGTGTGTCTGTTTTCTGGTTGACATCCCTTCACCATGTTACTAAGAATTTCCAACTTCTTTTTTTTTTTTTTTTTTTTGAGACGGAGTCTTGCTCTGTGCCCCAGGCTGGAGTGCAGTGGCGCGATCTCGGCTCACTGCAAGCTGCGCCCCCCCGGGTTCACGCCATTCTCCTGCCTCAGCCTCCCGAGTAGCTGGGACTACAGGCGCCCGCCACCTCACCCGGCTAATTTTCTTGTATTTTTAGTAGAGACGGGGTTTCACCGTGTTAGCCAGGATGGTCTCGATCTCCTGACCTCGTGATCCGCCCGTCTCGGCCTCCCAAAGTGCTGGGATTACAGGCTTGAGCCACCGCGCCCGGCCGAATTTCCAACTTCTTAATCATTCTATTTGGAAAGTGGCCAATTTGAAACAGACTTTCTAGCTGTGTCATCCTGAACTTTTTTGATGCACTCTTTAGTTCCACCATTTGATAGGTCCCACATCTTTCTTTCTTTGGTTTGAGGGACTGAATAAATAAATGGATAATAGCCAAACCATATTAAGAAACAAAACACTGACTCACAAACTGCAGCAACTATCCCAGGAAACCAATCCATTATCTACAGTAACCAGCCCAAGAAGCCAGCTTATTATCGATAAGTCAGATGTATAGTAAGTCAGACCACTGTCTCCGGCACTCAGCCCAAGAAGCCTAACAATAACCTCAGAAGCAATGGGTCTCCAACAGTCAGGACTTGATTAATATCTGACAGCATCCCTAGTCTTTGTCTCTGCTTCCAATTTGGGATCAACCAGAGAAAGCCAGATACGCACCTGTAATCAATCCTGTGGGATGCTGAGCTTCTCGTTAGTCCACCTGCGACCTCCCCATGCCAACAGCCTCCAATCAGGGCATGCCCGAAACCTTTCCTTTTTTCTACTATAGAGCTTTCCCATTTCTCTGCTTGTTTTTGAGTCTCGCCAAAATGCAATGGATGGCAGCTGACTCTTTTGCTCGAGCAAGCTCTGAATAAATAGGCTTTGCTTGTTCTCATTTGGTTGGTGCTTGTTTATTTCCACAGCTTCTTTTTTGTTTGTTTGCTTTTCTGGAGCATATCCTCAGGCAACTTTTTTTTTTTCAGGTAAAATTTCTGGATCTTGGCAGGTCTGAAAATATCTTTATTTTATTTATTTATTTTTTTTGAGACGGAGTCTTGCTCTGTAGCCCGGGCTGGAGTGCAGTGGCCGGATCTCAGCTCACTGCAAGCTCCGCCTCCCGGGTTTGCGCCATTCTCCTGCCTCAGCCTCCGGAGTAGCTGGGACTACAGGCGCCCGCCACCTCGCCCGGCTAATTTTCTTGTATTTTTAGTAGAGACGGGGTTTCACCGTGTTAGCCAGGATGGTCTCGATCTCCTGACCTCGTGATCCGCCCGTCTCGGCCTCCCAAAGTGCTGGGATTACAGGCTTGAGCCACCGCGCCCGGCCTGAAAATATCTTTATTTTTGTCCTGTTCCTTGGGTGGCTTCTGGGTTCAAAATAACTTAACTCAAAATTTTGTAGGAATTGCTTCACTGTCTCCTAGCATCCAGAATTGTTGTTGAGAAGATGATCAATCTTTTGTAGGTTAAACTGCTTCCTCCAGTGGTTTTAGAAACTTTCCCCTTTCCATGTACTGAAACCACATGAGGATATTTATGTCTAAGTAGGAGTCTTTTGAGAATCATCTTGCTTAGTACTTGGTGGGCTTTTTGGCATAGAGACTTGAAATATTTATTTGATTCCTTTCTCCCTTCCTTTCTCTTGGTTCTTTCTCTCTGTCTCAACTTCTGTGAGATAGATATAGGCTCTAATTAATCTTCTATGTCTCTAATTTTTTCCTTCATATAATTTTTGTCTTTTTACTTTCCATGTTAGAATATTTTCTTGTATTTCTTCTTCAATAGTTATATATAACTATTCAGGTTCAAGACCAGCCTGGCCAACATAGTAAAATCCCATCTCTGATAAAAATACAAAAATTAGCCAGGTGTGGTGGCGTGTGCTTGTACTCCTAGCTACTTGGGAGGCTGAGGCAGGAAAATTGCTTGAACCCAGGACGTGGAGGTTACAGTGAACCGAGATCACACCCCTGCACTCTGGCCTGGGCGAGTGAGTGAGACTCTGTCTCAACAAAATTTAAAAAATAAAAAATAAAATTGTCATTTTGGTGGATTTGGGGAGTGGTCTGCTTTGTTTACTCACCTTTCAGTGGACTCAAGTGTATTTTTTGGTCAGACTCAGAGTGGAAATAGAACAAAGATTCTCTGATCGAAGGCAAATCAATTCATCGTATATTTTATTGCCAACACCTCAAAGCAGCCTGCAAGCCACAGATAGAGAACATAGGGCAAAGCGGCAGTGACAAGCAGGGCTGGAGGCCTTTTTGTCCTTTACTGTGTCCAAGTGATTTGGGTAGATGGCAGATCCTGAGGGAGTACACCTGTGGCCGTGAGAGGTTTGCAGGATTCCGCCACAGTCTCACCGCTCTGAGGATGCTCAAATAATATTGCACAGAAACAGTGGGATTTGTTTGAAAGGGTATTCGGTGTTTATTTCACTCTCTCCTAGTTTCTTCCCCCAAGCAGAAGTCAGAGTTATGGTAACCTAGCTTTGGAATAACAAGTTATGTATGTTTCTCAGACAATTAAAAAATATGTTCATAAACAACTCTGCAGAGAAGGGGGAAAAAGAACTCTGCAGAAAAACTGGCTCAACCGTTTTGTGAACTGATTAGATAAAAGAAGACTCTGGTGTTATTCCTTGTATATTGTGCATAGACTTCAAGGAGAGAGAGAAGTCACTTCCTGGTGTCCAGTCTAGAGTGGCTGGGGTATTCTTCAGATTCTACAATGACAAAAGCTAAGGGACAGTGATGCTAAGATGTCAGACAGCGTCTGCAGCTTGTTTCAGCAGGAGCCAGTGGTCCTCACACTGTGACAGGGCATTGGTTCTGCAGGGACACCACATCTTTTCCTGTAGTGAGCCCGCGTACGTGCCAGGGTCACACAGCTAGCAAGAAGCAGAGCTGGGATTTGAATCTAGGACTCTTTGATCTCACAGTGTGCGTCCTTTCTTCCACAGCATTGCCTTGCATCATTTCTTTAAAGAATTAAGCTTCCAAAAGGCAAGAATAATGTGCACATCAGCCATGAACATGGGTGGCAATAAACTGTAATCTGCCACTGTGGTTCAGGGAAAGGAGTGCTCGGTAGGGCTGAATGGAGTGTGTCCTGTCTACTTTCCACCCCAGCCTCAGGGAGGCACGGGCCTAGCCTAGTGCCAATGCTCAGTCAGCATGTGCTGTTGAATGAACGAGCTGGGGCAGCCAGAAGAAGTTTTGTGGAAAAGGCAGGACTTGAGCTGGGCTTTGAAGTTGCATAGGTCTCAGAGGGCTGAGAGGGCAGAAAGAGCATCCCAGTGCCCGAGAAACAGGATAGAGCAGATTATGAAGGTGGGGGCAAAGAATGGGGTTGCAAACCCATGGCAGATCAACTGGAAGCAGCAGCAAAGGCCGAGTGACAGCAAGCCCTAAACATCAGTAACAGAGCCTGGAGAGGAAAGGATGAAGGCGTCAATTCATGGGAAAGTTGTGCTGTCTTTAAATATGTAGCCACGAGGAAGATCCCTTGATTTCTGAAAATGAATAAAGTTAGCTAATCCAGTGAATTAATAATAAGAGCTATTTTACTGT